GAAGCTGGCACCGTTGATCTCTTGTATCAATAGTCCAAAGCTACTGCATTAAAAAAAAAACTATTTTTCTATCAATTTGCAGTGAAATGAAAAAAACCTATGAACTACGACCTTGTATCGATTTGCGGCGAATGAAAAAACCTACAAACTATGACCATTGATCAACTGAAAACTAATGCAACAAATGATCTTTGTGGTTTAAAAAAAAAAATTCAGTTCTCCGCATATGTAATTTGCAGTTATTTTTGGACCATTGATCAAGTGGATCAACTATCCACAAATTTCGCATGTGTGGAATAAAAAAAAAAACCTTTTACAACGCCACAAATCAAGTTTGCGGCAATGTGTCAATTATCCACAAATTTCGCTTGTGCAGAATAAAAAAAATTTATTCATATCGCCACAAATTTAATTTGTGCCGATATGAGGGCTGCTGATCAAGTGGATCAACGGTCCACAAATTTCGCCATGTGCGGCATTAAAAAATTAAAAATTCCTTTGCCGTAAATTTTGTGTGCGGCAATAGGATTTAAAAATTTTTTTCCCTTCACCTTCAAATCACGACCGTTGACATATATTAATCAATGGTCTATCTATGCCTAAAATAAAAAATTCTATCGAAAATCTTAACTTAAAAAATTCTTAAGCAGTTGAAAATAAATGTAAAAATATGTCTGTTTTTTTTTTTTTGCGCCGATATTCCCACCTGCGGCAACCCTTATAATATCCACATATCTTAAACAACACTTCTATGATATTTTTTGATTTTAACATTATTCCGAGAAATTCACCCAAAGAATAAACAAGGCACTACTTTAACTACACAATGAGAAAGATCACAAGACCACTAAAAAGAATGGGCAATTCCCACATATTGAATTAATTAAGCACAACAAATGTGAAAGCATGCTGAAAGATGATCAAAATCATGAGTAAGGCTCCAATACAGGCATTTTGGTGCATCCAAGCTAAGCATACCAATGATAGAAATGAAAGTAGGAAAATATTAATTATTTTGTATTTATTTTTCACTTTTCTCACATTTAGATGTTTTTCATCATCCTCTTTCTTTCACATGTTATATTGTCATTTTCTATTAAAAAAGACGTTGAGATTGCCTTCTTTATTTACTATTTTATGCAAAGCAAAACCTTGTCAATTTTTTATGCATACTTTTCATATTTACTTTTATTTGCATTATTTATCTTCCATTACACAAGGAATTGATGAGTGGCAAAGGGAATTAGAGGACTAGCTGAGCCAGCAACCCCCGATAGGTTTTCAAAAATTTCTTTCAACCCTAGTATAATTTTGAAAATTTTCACTTATAATCGTTCCTAACTTAGTCTTCATTATTTATGAATTCTTTTCGCAAACTTGCTATGTAGCTAGTTGATTTACAACTTTTAGCTTTTTATTACATGCTTTAATCTTACATCTTGTGCTCTTAGAATATTATTTCTAGAGTGAAGCAAAATATCTAAATAACTAGAATGTGCACCCCTTAATTCGTTTCTCGCTTTCATTGTAAATCTATCAAAGTTTTTTAAGTACTTTTTGTTATATGTAACAGCCCCACCTTCCCCTAAGGCGAACCAAAGGGGTTAGCGGGCTGCCTGCCCAGCTCTCGCCAGGACTACAGATCAGTTGACGTCGATCTAATACGTTCCGGAACACACCAATGCGCGCAAACAAGTCAAAATCACAAAATAAAAAAACGAAAATCAAAGCCGATGATGAACAGTACCGGCCACGTCAGAATCCGGATACTAGGCCGAGAGTAGCCAAATTTTTCTTTTGCCGTTTGAAATACGAGTTAATCCGAAATCCAACCAAATGTCAACCAAACATATATACATTGAAATGTAACATTTACAAGCCAAAAGCCAAAGCGGTATATCAAAACGATTCATCATGGATATACATGTTCGGTTTGCCAATCAAAAGAAATTGAACCCAATACACATTAGGGTTTCATTCAAAGAGCTATTCAAAAGACATTTACATGAGCTCAACTTGACAACCAACTAACACAACCTTATCCAAAAGTGGTCATTTCCTGTAAGGAAAACAAATGGAACGGAATGAGCTTAAGCCGAGTGAGTTACTACCACATAAGCAACAAAGAGCATATAGCATAACCTTTCATTTCAAGTACACAATTAAGGAATAAAACAAATCAGTAAAAGGATACGGACGGCTCTCAAGAGCCCATTTCCATGCTTATTTTATTGATCCAATCTCATTGACTCTCCGTCAACGTTTATGAGTACCAACCGTAGAACCCACTTCACTCCCATCCCTTCCACCAAACATACCCCAACCGGGCCCGCACTCCAATCAATAGCTTTTGGTAATACTCGAGTTTACCGGAATCAAGAGTCTCATTACTACAAGATTCCCCTGTACAGTCCCCGTGGCATGTCAATTTTCACGACCAAGCCCTCGCTGGCTCGATTCGATTGACTACCAACGGGGTTGAGCTCAGTAGTACAGTAAGGCCGTTGGATACTCGTCCAAACGACACCAAATCAGTTTTTCATGAAGTGAATTCAATATCTCATATAGCAAGTGCAGTATATCAGTGAAGCGGTAAACAGTCATTAACGGTATTACAAGGGGTGAGGGCGGTCAAGTACACCCTCACCTCAATCAATTCCAATAGCCAAATAAGCCTTTAAGGCATCAAAATCACATATAGCAAAGCCACATTGTAACATTCAAGTGAGTAGTATACTCACTTATCAATTAAGTGTTGTTTCATGCACTTTCGTCAAGAGAATGTCGTGAACCACCGTCACGCCCTAGAACACGTAAACAAGTACAATGAGACTCGATAAAGAGTCATAAAACAATGCCAATCACAACCCCAATAGGGTTTCATATGCATATACAAGTATCATAAGTAACCAGAAAATCCGGAAATGCAATTAACTTTGGTCCTAAAAAAATACAGTATTTGTCCTCATTTTGCGGTAATGGTACCAATTTCACTACGATTATCGGATGAGGGTGCAAGACCCACCATCTCGAAGCTAAAAGACAGGGCTACAACATTACAGAAGGTCACTCAACCCAGTTTTGAGTGCAAACAGGTCAAAATGCAAGATATTATATCAAAAACGTAAAACAGATTCACCAAAACGCATTCTAGCGGAAACATCATAACTCAGGCTCTACAAGTCCAAATCCAGAAATTCCAAAGGCATATGGTAGCTAAGACATCAAGCTACATTTCATCAGAAGACCTCAAAGGCCAAACCGTGCATTTTCATGGTCAAAAATGGAAGACTACACGAAAACAGAAATTTGGGCGCGAAACAGGTTTCAAAAACAGTCAAGGGTATTTCGGTCATTTCACATGCTACAGTGGTCGGATCAAGCTGAAAATTTACAGGCAACTAGTTTATAGCCTTGGCTACAACTTTCATGTTTTGGCTAAAATCTAATTCGGTAAGGATCAGGGTGAAAAGTCACGGTCAAATTGAGTGAAAAGGCAACCCTGTTCGCAGCACCCCTTCCTAGACCAGTCTCGGTATTTCCGACTTTTCTCACTCTACACTACTCCAATTGACCTGAAATTTTACAGGCACCTTTAAAACATCAATACCTACAACTTTCATGTTTTAAGCCAAGGCCAATTCGACCTCTAACCATGAGATACAAAACCGGACAGAATTGGGGATATAAAACCCTAACTTTCTCACATTCCTTCCAAACCAGAAATTGGTTACAATTATCTATCATATACACCTACTAGAGTCATTAAACATCAATTCCCATCATCAAGGATAGCCACAACATTACATTCATATTAAACCAGAAAATTCATCAATAAATTAAAAACTTCACCAATTCATCTCAAACCAAGAAATAAACCACAAATTTCAGCACTTTAGCTACCACTAAGCACAACTTAAGCTTCATTAAGTGTAGGAGGAAGTTCAATAACCACTCACCTAGAAAACAAGAGAGGGAGAGTTGTAGGACACCTTAACTTCTCCAAACACTTCACCAAATCACTTACTAGCACCAACTAGAGAGATTTTATGGAGTAGAAACAAGATCAAGCAAGTGTTTTGGAGGATTTGAGCTAGATAGTTGCCAAACTTTGAAGAGTTCTTCTTCCTTCCTTGCTCAAGGTGGCCGGCCACTATAGAGGTAAGAAATGGTGATTTTTGTGGTAATTTTAAAATATTTAACCAATTGGTCAAAAGGTCAAAAAAATGAATAGTAAGTCATAAGTTACCACCAACCTCATAGTGACACATGTCACCTCTTTAAATGCAATCATATCCTTCTTTTTCCCTCTCACATCAATCACTTCACATCCTCTACTTATCTCTTAACACCCGATAAATTTCCACCAGTATCCGGAATTTACCATAATTGGCAGCATTTTTCCGAACTTTTCGCACTAGTGGGTCCCACGTCCATTATATATTCTTAATTTTTTAAAAACTATCCAATACTAGAAAAATCATCTAAAAACTATAATTACTCATAAAATTCACCAGGAAAATTTTCCTAAGCCAGAAAATGCAGAAAACATGTCTTTAAAGGGGAAAAACCCTAGAAAAATTATTAAGAGGAATTTACGGGTTCTCACATTATATATGTATCCTCTTTGGAAATTAAAAATTATAATGATTAAACAAATATATACCTAAACATTCTCTTCATAAACCTGTCGAATTGCTAGCCAGGTATGCTATTTGTGTACTTTTGGCTCAAAGCTTTTAGATATGATTATTGTCAAACTTTAAAACCAAATAGTCAACTTATATTTGTAACTGCCACGGACACTTTGATCTAGTAGTTAAAATATAACTGCAGAAGTTAGAGGTTCTAGGTCCTCCTTCCCTCGGGATGCATCTTGTGATCCATTGTCCCCCAACCAAAAAACTTGGCTCTGCCCCACAGTGATGAAACAAAATATGACCTTTCCCCGTTCACACACATGGTCTATTATTGGTAATAGCATACACAAATCTAAGCCATTGTGGAATTAAACTGCTCGCTATTATTTGCATAAAATTTCAATCATAGTATTCTTTACTTAAAATGCAGCCTAACTATAGAAATACCTAAAAGCTTTCCCTGCATCTGCCCTCAAATTTGCTTGTCGAGCCGTAAATATACAGCCACTCTATTACAAGCTACCAAAATGAACTTGGCCTATGTACAACAATGCCCCTCTCATGGATGCGGAACCATTTAATCACTATAGGACAGCAGAATTTTCCTACCTTGTACCTGTTGAAGCCATTATATTCACTATCCAATAGTATCCCAAGTACCAATGAATAGTGCAAGCAACATAAAGCGCTTCAATCAACCCTTCACTTGATAGCGCGGAAGCAGCAGCCAAAGGGATTTGAATGTTCATTCTTCCAATGGCCACTCGCACTTTTGACAAAATTTCAACAGGTTTTGTTGTGCTATCCTCAGCATGCTGAGGCTATGCAGTTATCACTCTACAGCAGCATAGCAGTTAAAAGACATCAAAACCACACCAAATTCAACGTCTTTTGGACCTCCTCCTTTTGCCAAGAAGTTTTAGCATGTTGTCAGTGACGTCAGGCTGAGACTTGTCATCTTCATCATGCTTTTTGTCGGTGTGTGTCAACCAAGCCAATGCCTCAACAGCGGCATCCCTCTCTGCAAGTGCTTTGCTTCTCTTTGGTTTACCCACAAACTGCATTCCCTTGAACTCTACCAATGCCCTAAATTCATTTGTCTTGAGGTGCTTGATTTTATATTTAGGAGGAGAGTGACCAGCCCTCATCAACAGAGTTTGTAGCAGGCTCTTGGGGTTCATCCCATCTCTTGTAAATCTGTCATTGTCAGTGGACTCTTTCACCCGCTTGCTTTCACGACCAAAAACAAATCTCCCCTCAGACTGATCTCCCGACACCAATTCTTGTACAGCAAGCATGAGGTATTTCCCCTCTTTATGGATATCAAGACTAGGATCTTGAAACTGCATTTGTAAACAGCAAAGCAGTCATTCCATTGGAAAGCTATCATAATACAAACTTAATGTACAGAAAGAACAGGAGTCAGAACAACCAGTGCTGATAAGTGATATCAGTGATCCCGTCAGTTAAACTGTCACGCGAGACAAATACAACTTTCAATGAAATGACATTTAATTCTGTACAGAGGGGTTGATCACAATTTGCTTAGCTCTTGAAACTGCAAGCACTTGCACTCTTCATGATTATGATATTTTAGACAACAAATGTGTTACACAAGGTTCTTGCTGCTAAAAGGTCAGGAAATGGTAAACGTTTTCGGCTAAAAGTTAATCTTGCTATTATAAATCCTGGCAAGAGCCATACTGTAGTATATCTATCTCTCCCACTAGAAAGTCAGTTTGCAGCAGCCAACCTCACCATTCAAGTACAGGTTTCATACTCAAGTAATGTTGAAGAAAGGGAAAATGTAAGGACTAATAAAAAGTTCACCTTCTTCCGCAGAAGGTTTTCCATCTCCTCCTTCAGCTTCAGGTAGCACTCAGCCAAGCTAGGATCCATAAAAAACTCAATATATCCTTCTAACATCTTCAATTGTCCAGCCTAAAACCGCAAGTACGAGAAAGATTACTAAAAATAGAAATCATTGGAATCCAAATATACCAAATCATCAGCTGAAGAAGAGAGCTACCAGAGTTCCACAGTTGAGGGCACCACCAAAAAGGATCAAGATTGAATCAGATACTCCAGTGGAATCACGTAAGAAAACAGTATTCACCTTCACTTTTTCACCAAAAACCAACCATGGATACGGTATTGTTTGATAGCGGGCATTCACAGAATTCTGCACAAAACCATAGATGTCACTAGCCAAAGGGAGAAGCTAGAAAGCAAGCAATACTCCATTGCAGGGCACAAACATGACTTGAATACTGAAATCAAATAATTAATTGTACCCATATATGACACTAACAAAAAACTATGGCCTGACACAGCTACAAACTGACACTAGCCGCACTATGCCCTTAATGTTGTGATAATCCAAGTATTAAACTAAGTCATATCAGCTTTCAAAGCGCAGACCAAGCTAAACTGCAGCATAAGGCAACCGCTCTCCCTTTATGTGTTGTCATAACAGACCTATGATCTGCAGCCAAGTCTATACTGCCAGACATTCTTCTTCACTTCATTTGAATCCAGCCTCCAAGTTCATGCAATTCTTTCATAAATATGTTAAAAACACAGAATCCTCTTATGTTAATAATGGATACTTTAGGACACTGCAAGTTGTATCACTGTAGATCAAATTCAGAGGAAAACATTTGATGAATACACTTGAGTCAAATGAAGAGGAAGTTGTTCCATCATATAATCTGATACCGTTTCAAATGATAAACTAGAGAACTGCACAAGTTAAAAGGCTAGTTGCAAATGGCAAATGGCTAGTTGCACTGGTACAGCAAAGTTTTACGTGTCCCTTCCATGAGTGTCAGAAAGGAAAATTGGAAGAAAGGTAGGTTCACATTGGAAGAGAGACATTCAGAGGTTTTTTTTTCTTTTTTTTTTTGGCAAAGTTATATCAAATGACCACAATATACAAAAGAAAAGGAGACATGAAATATATTGTCCAGGATAGTAGTGCAGTACATGGGAGAAAAGCAAGTCAGCCACTTTAGGATTTAGTTTGTTTCTTGCTTTGAAATGCTGCAATCCAATATTTTGTTTCTTTCAATATCCTCTCCTCTTTTTTTTTCCTCTTCTTTTTGTTAATTCCATTTTCCATGGCCTTCTTATTTTTCCCTTATTTCTTGGCTCCATTATAATGTAATAACTTCATTTACCAAGCAACAAGACGAGAATCAGACAGGAAGACCTCAACTGGGTACATCAACTGATGTTTAAGAATCAGAAACCTGTAAGAATAATGGATGGCAAACTTGCTTTGCTGTTACTCTTACTAGTAGGCATTCTTCAAAACTCAAAACTCTTCAGGATTGAAGCAAACAGAGCACAATTTGATCAGTAATTGCACAAAAGAATTTCATGGACAGGCATGAATAGATGTTTTATAATCAAAGATGCTGCCTGGTAGAGTATTACTTGTTCATGCTAATTTTTCCCTTGGTTGTCAGCCAACTATCTTTTGGTATCATGAACAAGCTTGTCTAATTGGTAATTCAACAAAATTGCAGTACAGGAAGAAAAAGGGGGGGGGGGAGGTAAAATTTATCTATGCTTGGGTAAATTATGCTAACACAATCATCTTCTGTGATAATTGGTGCACCCCAACACCAGCTATTAGCATTCAGTTAAACATTGAAAGTGTTGATCCAAACCTAGTAGAGAGTTAGTCTTCTCCTCACAGTAGCATACTGTCTCAGTTTGCCAGAATAAGAAGCACAATATGAGAATAGATATTTTCTGAGTTTCACCAACAGTTTTGTGCGATTTAGAATCATGCATGAACAATTCCTCCCAGACATTTAAGTACCAAAGAAATCATTACATGCATTCCCTAGATATCAGTTATGTGTGTGTCTTTAAAACATACCGCATATAGTAAGACCTGACCATCATCCATTGTCTTGAAAGACATTGACGTCTCCCTGTGCTGAAATGAAGAATAAGGAGCGAATGACTTAATCAATTGTATTTGTTAAAACATCAAATTAGCAAACAGAGTCACCTTACCACTACAGATGCAACTCCAGGAAACAAGCCAGAGCATATAACTGCCCGGACCAATGATTGATTATGACTTAATTTATTGTTTGTTGCTGCATCCGCATCCAACAATCCAGCGTCTTTCAAAATAAAGCTGAACTGCTTCCGAAGAGAATGGATGGCTTGAAGAGTCTGGACAGAGAGGAAGTTCCTCCAACAGTACTCATATGCAGATCCTTCTCTCTCTGCATCCTTCCATCCTTCATATGCACGGACAAGAGCCATATGGTCGCTATAGTCTTTAACGGAGAATCTTGACTTAGCTGTCCCTGCCAACTGCATTAGAAAGAGGAACATGTTTAGCCTACAAATATTCCTACCAAGTATGATTCAAGGCTCCATACAGTCAGACAAATATAGAGAAACTATTAGAAATGTGGTCTACAAAATACCGAGCAGTTTTTTCAAGAAAATAGAGCAAGAATTAAATTGCTCAACCTAACAATGTACACCATTGGCAATCAGTACAACTCTACAAGGCATGCTTAACAGGATTCTTGGTATGATTCCACAAAACAACACAGCAACATGTGCAAAGAAATGCATTGTGACCCTCAAACTTCGAGGGCAACAGGATTCATTCTGTCAAAAAACCTAAGGGTTGAACTTGCACAACCATCAAAGCATTATCTAACTATACAAATCCCTTGTACCAATAGTTTAGGTCAGGCACTTGATAGAATTTATGAATTTATCATGTTCAAAGCAAAAACTTTTACCTACATGACAACTAGTGCTTTTGATTTTCTTATTCGAGTGACTTCAGGATTTTTAATTTCTCTAATCCTGTGAATAATAATCATAACTTCACATGTTTAACCTCTACTTTGCATGGTCTTGCTGAAAATTCACAAAGAATCTTAATTCATTCTCTCAAATAATGCTCGATTTTTTAACCAATACTTACAAATCTCCACAAACATGTTTACATCCATTTATATAGGTTCAGAAGTAAAGGACATGACCATTAATGGCCAGTCAGGCTGAGCTTTGGTATTCCATATTCTTGACTGTTGGAGTCAGGAGAATAACATCATACAAAAGCTAGGATAAGCTGATCTTCGTAAAGATGAACTGCACAGGTTTTGATGCTCAATTGCCATTGTCAGGATGAATTTGCTAATTGAATGATGTGAAATTGCATTCGAAGTTCAAACAATCTACTAAAAGGCCTAACACGTTGAAGCAATTAGTGAAATGATAAATGTGGATAAAAAAGAGATGTTGCGAAAGTACAAGTGGTGGTTGAATAAATGCTACTTTACAAGCATATAATCCACATCAGGTGGTGAAAATGAGGGACCCAAACTTATGTAGTGAAAAGAAATGGCATCTAATATAGCTTTGATCCTCACTTTAGCAAATGCAATCAGCACAAGAAGAAATTCTAGGGATACCAAATAAATCAACAAAGTTCCCATAACATAAGCTAAATACTCTCATATGTCCTTAAATAATTCCCATAACATCAGCTAAATACTCTCATATGTCCTTAAATAAACTCATGATATTCGTATGCCACAAAAAGGTGAAAAATAAAAGATTATTTTTTTTTTTGAAGATGAAGATATTTAAGTTTCGAGGCATAATTTTAAGAAGTATCTTGAAAAGGGACCATATGGGTATGCCTTGCTAAGCAAACTTGACTTAAGATTTCCTGTGTACTTTGAAACATCTTATTCTTTTCTTTTGCACAAAGTCACTCATACAAGAAAACTGGCATCATATGTACCACATATCCATTTCTGATTCCATTCTTTAATCCATTCTGATTCCCTTCTTATTCTTTTCTTTTGCACTAAGTCGCTCACACAAGAAAATTGGCATCATATGTACCACATCTCCATTTCTACCAAAGCTAGTAGAAAATAAGAATATCAAAAAAGAAAGCAAAAGGCATTTTAAAGCATTGAATGAAACTATTTTCAGTCTTGTACCCACATCCTTTTTGTCTTGAGGCAAAAGGAAAGGATCCCTGACACTAAGGCCAGCCACAATTGTCAAAACTGGATCAAAGCAACGAAAAACAGCACCCATAATCAGCATCTTCCCAAGCTTTGGATCCACAGGAAGCACCGATAAAAACTCCCCTGAATGAGCAAGGAATATGTAGTTTCATAAGAAGCCTGGTATGATACAAGAGGTTAGGCGTATTGAACATCAATTTAGTCAAAATACCATACCAAGATTTGTAAGATTTTCACTTTCATCTAATGCACCAATCATCTTTAAAAACCCAACAGCATTTTGCACCTGCAAGACGTTGAGTTGTGCATTTGATTAAAGAAACAACAACCTATTTGACCAGAACAAACTAAACGGTATTCATTGTACCTACAGATATGTAAAGTATGAACATATAAAACCATCAGCAGAACTCTCAGACACTTCTTTTAAGCCAGATAATATGTAAGCCCTGATACTCATTTATCAAAATCATACAGGTTAACCTGAAGATACCATCAAATTAAATTCATCACTGAAACAGTGGCCAAGTGGAATTCATTACTCAGCTAACTCACAAACTTGAAACCTAAACTTATTCATTTCTTTAATTCCTCTGGACACTAAAAGAATTCTATCGCTGAAGAGATTCTGCTTCTACCAAATGCTCTACATTAAAGTGTCTATTCAAAATTTTGAGACATTTTTTTACATATATGTTTACAAGTATGTGTATCCTGTTTAGACTACATTGTTGATTCAATTCAGATGAGAAAAAGATAAAGTAGTGTGTTTGGATTGTAAGTTATTTGAGATATTTTTACTGTAGCACTTTTTGTGATGTGATGTATTTGAGATAAAAAGGTAATTGGGAAGATAAAAAAGTTTATTGGAAATTGTAATGGTCAAATAACTTACAATCCAAACATGAAAGAGTTTGAGTTTGAGTTTTTATCCAAACCCCCCTGGATTTGAAACTCAAACTTAACATGAAAGAGTCATTTTAATTGCTTAAATCTGGAAAAGATAGAAATGTATATCCACATAACATTGCTCAACCATCTTTGAAGCAGCTCGGAAGAAAGTGGGGAGCGAGGATGTGAACAAAATGGGAAAAGCTTACCGCCAAAGGTTCAGGAGGCTGAAGGGCAGATGAAAGAAATTCTCCTATACTTCGAACTTGCAAACTTTTGATTTGTAAGCAGAGAGAATTTAAAGGAGTTCTCAACAATTCAGGAAGTTGGTATTCAGCAAAAGCTTCAAAAACACACCGTGGGTACAGATGGTAGCACTCACCCGGCTGCACACGACCAGCTCTACCCCTTCTCTGCAACCAAGAAATAATAATGACCTCCTTTGTATAAGCAGATAAAACCAAAGATATTATTAAGTTTCACATGAAGCTTGCTTTTTGATTAAGTATAATCATCCAACTAAAGGAGATAAGCAAAAGGAAATCGAACAGAAGAGGAGATCTTCTTTAAGGACCAATTAGACTTCGGATTCCCTAGTCAGCATTTGATCATGGGGTAAAAAAAAAATAAATAAATATATTAAATAGTTCATTCTACTGTTCAATGATAAACATTTAAAAAAATGAAAATACAAGAGCAAAAAACATGTTAACTAAATACATAAAACAGAGGAAAAAAAAGCTTGTTCTTGATCCCAAGCATTGCTATTTTATGCTTTTATGAGAACAACCAAAAAACTTCTCTGAACGCCTGAGCACTTGCAAATAATATGGGCTTACAATGTTCTACAAGCAATCTTCACTTGGATTGCCAAAACAAAAACATAAGACACAATATAGACACTCCCCAATACATAAAAATCAACAAAAACATAAATACTGATCCTGATACAAAAGATACAAAGGAATGAGAACTTTATAGCATCAGCAAAAATAGGAATATTCGAGGAATGGTATCTAGATTTGGAGTGAAGCAAAAAATTGGAGTAATGAACTCACTTGCCGAGCAGAAGCCTGGGATATCCACGAAGGCAGTAAACAAGGAGTGTTATTCAGTGCGTCATAGGTAGTCTCCTTTGCTTTTCCGCAATCAACCACAAAAACTATGTCATTGATTGTAATACTAGCCTCAGCCATATTAGTAGCAAGTACAATTTTACGAACATTTGGAGGTGGCTTCTCAAATATGAGTTTCTGTAGATAAATATCACCTTGTCAACAAAATGATAATGGACTATAAAAATACAGAGTAAAAGCAAACAAAACTAAAAAATATAAAATAGGAAAAACTCAGAAGACAGTGTCATTTCCAAAAGTGAATGTATGGCATTACACATTAGCTGAACAGGGTGTTACACTTGAATTAAACAGATCCATCCAACAACTTGAGAATAACCATCAACAATGATAGAAAAGTCTTCTAAAAGCCAAGAAATAGAAGAGTCCAAGAAAATAGAAGGGAAAAAAAGAGTACAGTGTATGACGAACAACACACTGCAAGGAGATCAAACTTCATATGAAAAGCTCACAATTTCTGTCAAGTGGTGGTGGTGGACTATGTGCAGTTAAGTTTTCAGTCATAGGAAGGACAGAAAGAAGAAAAAGAATCAAAGATTAAGAAATTGAGGTGGCACATTATAACTGATAAGAGGATGAGAGAATGGATCATGGTTTAATCGTTATAAAATTGGGCCCAATCCAATGACATCCGTTTGTATAGTGGATGTAACTGGATTCAGTTAATTCAATCCAGTATCCAATTATATTAAGCCATTTGTAACCTACATTCATTAGGACCACTCTAGCTAATGGGCAACACCTGTGGCAGCCAACTGGCTAAGGCTGGCTAGAACTGCCAAGAGGACCAGTAAAAAACAAGACAGGAAGAATTTTGCTGTCTGCAGCTTGTGAAGTCAAAATTCAATTTTGATGTGATATTTGAGAGATACGACCCTTGGTGTCTAGATAAGGCGCCTCATCAAGTTAAAAAATGATAATTGAGTGACAACAAGACGAAAGATGCTGGGACATGCCATATACTTGTCTACTTTAGTGTGCCCTTGAGCTTACAAGTCAGTCTAGGAGAATCATATGAACATAAGATTTGGTGGATTCAGAAAGGAGATAGAGAAGTCTGAAGGTAACTTATTTGCAGGATTCACAAATTACCACCTACTGATTGGACTTGGGATACTTCTTAATAAGACAGAAATTGGGGAGGCACTCTTGGTATATGGGCCATCAGCTTCCCTCTTGCTTATTGGTCAATTGTCAGCAACATATTGCTGTAAATCCAAAGGTCAGCTTAGGCTACGAGAGGAGTACCATTATTCTCCATGTACGTTGATGAACCAGAATAAACAGCACTACACAGGACTGCTCTGGGCAATCTCCAAGAACTGTAGTTTAAGGCACGGAAACCAGTAGCCTAACCAGCTAGCAATCAACAACCTTATATCACTAATGTTTTGAGCAATAAAGGCACACCAGGTGGTGTATCCTAACTCATTGCAGAAGAATTGAGATCTAGCCTTGCCATGGAGCTTGCACTGCTATAAAGGGTGCATGGTATTTGAGATGTTAAGCTTTGGACATTGGTAGTTGGGAGCTTTAGCAATGTTGACCATATCATGCAGAAGGTACAAATGAACCATGGAAAGAATGCTTCCCTTCTAAGGCTGCTTCACTTCTAAGGCAAGGCAAATGCAACTGATGCCTAGGTAGGACAGGCACCATCGCAAGTTTCAAGCAAAAGAATTGTTCCTCAACCGTTCAAGCAGGCCTCAGTGCTCGAAGCAAGCAAGCATTCTGGCCTTCCTAGAGGGGCACAGAGAACCAGTGTGAAGAACAGTACATACAGAATATTGGAGACAAAGGCCTGGCGTTCTGATGATGCTTGTGAGAGTTCAAGTATGTTCCCTAACACTAGGTTCATCATCTTGAGGCAAAACTTCCAGATGGTGGTCTTAGGCACAAGGGTGACTGAAAATTACATGAAATGTCGAGTATAGCGCTATCAATTTTCACAAGACGTGAAACAGTTGGGTGAATCTCGACCTATAGCTAGTTGAATTGAGCAGTGCCACATGAAGTAGATGCTAGCATAGGGAAATTATTGCTTCCACAAAAGGGTCATGATCATACTTGAATGCACAAATCCTATGCAGTTGAGTGAGACTCAAAATGTTCTCACTCACTTAAATGGAAAAGAGGTCCAAAAATGGAATCTTAAGAAAGCAGGTGTATGTAGAAGGATTTGGATACCACCAGAAGCTGGCAAAAAATTGCTGATTATATCATATCACTGTATGTGCAAGCTAGCCTTAGCACAAATCATGCTACATGACAAAAGAGTATTAGAGCTCTATGATATTATTCCTGAAACAAGAATACCAATAGACTGCTGATGCATATGAACCACTGGAAGTCTAAGCAAAAGTCAACCTTAATCTACATTTTCGGAGCAAGTAAAGCAAGAAGAAAACTGAAGTGAAGACAACATAGACTAATCCTAAATCTACTAAAGGGGGAAAAAACTATTCTGAATCTATCCAAAAGCAAATACTGGATTGGACACAAATGATGAAGTAGGTGCTGAAGTGAACTTCTCTTTTTCTTTCCACCTGTATCTAAGAAAAGGAATACGAAGCTTGCAAAAGAAAATTGATGGGATACGTAAGAAACTTGGAAGAGCAAATTAGTCTTCGATAGTACCAAAAATGAATGTTTGAGATAAACTTATTAATCCATTGATATCCAAATGGAGCATATTCATATCAACATAAGTCAACCATACCACTTTGGCATGCAAAAGAAAAAGGCAGCAAGGAAAAGCAATATCTTAGAAAAGAATATGAGACAACTTCAATTCCTTGGGAAATTAAAGCCCTCTTCCAGCACATTGAGGCAGGTAAAACAAAGAACTATCTATATAACACAATGATATTAAAGCTAGTGAGTAGTGACAACAGCAAATAAATGATAACAAGAATAAAATACTTTAGGAAAACAAAATATCTATGGTAACAATGATCATCAGCATGGTAAGATCAGTACAAGAAAAAGGAACTCAAAGAAAATGCAGCACCTGTTCAGCGGTTGCCATTGAACCATGACATGTAAGTAGAAGCACCCTGTTAGGGTCACCTAACAGTGGATGAGCTTTAATTTGATCCCTCAAGCAACTAATATCCTCCCAACCAGTCATAAATACCAGCACAGCACCAGGTCGTTCCTTCCGACATATATGGCATAAAACAGCCTCTATAAGATTGAACCCAGTACAATCAGGTGTCCAACATGAGAGTGAATCACGTGCTCTGGCACTATAATTCTCAAAGTTTGAGTTATTCAGAGCATCCTGTGAAAAGATTCAAAAGCTCACATATGAACATTACTCTTTGTAGGTCCAATGCATGTGACCTGCACTCTTTGAATAGTTGTTGTCTACCAGTGAAGATTAAAGAAAGTTACATTTAAGCAGGATTGAAAGAGGTAGTTCTTATAACAAGATAATAACATACAGCAAATATGGTGGTCCCAGAAAAGATTTGGTCCACCAATTTTGTCCAGTTACTACCTTAGATGAGGTATGCACTTCAAGAAAGACAAATTTCTTCGCTCAAACCAGTAGTAGCATTTATAATTATTGGAATAGTTACCCTATTAGGGAAATGGCCTTCAATTAAGATATGAGCTTTAACTTTCCACCGCCTCCCCCTTGCTACAGGAAGTATGCCAACATACACGTGATATGAGCAACAAAAGAATACCAGCCCAATGCAGAAGAAACAATTGGTAAAATGAACTAATCAGATTCACAATCTTTTGTATTCCTTGCAACAATTTCAAATTTTTCCAAAAGAGAAAAGTTCGTCAAATGGTCTCTGTGTAACTACAATCTCCCAGGATCAAGAACTAAGTTGTTCTAATGCACATCTTATCGTATGGCTCAGCAACACTATTCACAGAAATTATTTTTGACTTGTAAAGTTATAACATTCCTTCTCATTCATCTGATAAAAAATTTAAGCTTGTATTAAATCAGATGGGGTTACAAGAAAAAGAATCCAACTATTACTATGGAAAAAGTTGTGAGAGTGCAAAATCCTTCCAAATCATTATAAAAGGCTAACATTTTCAGCCCAAAAAAAAAGGAAAAATGACCTGGGTGTATAATACAGAGATTGAAAAATTTTACCAACATGTGAAGATCTGTTAACTCAAGTTTCTGTGTAACTTAGCCTTATTAAAGAAGAATGTGCCAGCCAAAAAAAAACCCTTAAAAACTTCAACATTCAAATTTATACAAACAATACTTGTACAAAACAAGAAAATACAATGACCAAAGGGAAACAAATACTCAACCAAAAATCAAATATGTGTGGAAGCAAAAGCAGCAAAGATTTTCTATAGAGTATATCTCGAGCAGAGTTTGTTACCTCAACAAGAGATGTTATCTGATTCTTCTTCTTTCGTGGAGCTAGCTGCTTTTGTGTTTTCCATACCTTCTCTTGGCCATAATCATCAATTTGGTTGAATGAAGTCAGCTTATATCCAGTCATTTCCAGTACATCTTCCAGAAAGTGAGTTCTCACGGGATACGTGAATCCCTACACTCATTTTCAACAAAGGTGTTTAGGGGACGGGGGTGATAGGGTTGGAGGAGTGCTTACACTCTTCCAAATTGAAACACACAGTGTAGACAACATTAACTAAATTTCGCAGGAGATATAAAGATTGAAAGGGGATAATTTCAAGGTCTAAATTGTGCTCCAGCTCAGACAAATTTTTTTCCTTAACTACAATACCAAGTTATCAAATTTATTCAAAGGATGTGAGAAGAAAGCAAAAAAGAAATTATTTGGTTGATAAGGTCAACTTTGCAAAGAATTTCACAACAGCCCCAAATAAAACCAAGCATAAGTAAACTCTGTTGGCCACACCATAAGTCAGATTAGTGGTTTAGAGAAGGAAATCTAAAGCATACTCGATACTTATTCCAAGATTAAGAAACCTACAAACTGTATCCTGCAAGATACAACAGGAACTTCTGATACCATATGGAAACCCCAATAAGGATATACCACTTAGCTTGACAATTTACCGGAATGTGAATTATAGGTGCTCCTCCAAAATAACTGGAGAACAGATCAGCATTTAGAGTAGCACTCATCAAAATCAACCTTAAATCTCGACGTTGCACAAGAAGATCCTTCAATACAATCAACAGGAAGTCTGATAACAAAATAGCAGAAAAGACTATGACAATCAGCATATGATGCTTTGCTGAAAAAACTCGAGAAGATAGGGAAAAACTTTAAAAAACTATACTAACCTTCATTCATGCCACGCTCATGAATTTCATCCACGAAGACATGAGTAATACCATTCAGGTTGTGGTCACTCAATAGCCGACGGAGTAAAATGCCACTTGTGCAAAAGAGAAGTTGTGTGTTTTTTCCCTTCATTCCCTCTAGCCTCACTTTAAAACCAACCTACCAAAAAATTTCTGTGAAGGACAGTAGCTCAAATAAAGAAGTTTCCAAGTTGAACTATCTATCTAGTGAATGGACACTTCAAATCCCAGTCAATCATAAGAAAAGTTAAAGCAAAAGAGCAATAGAAGGCCTACTGATTCACCAAGAGGCTCTCCTCTTTCTGTAGATACTCTTTCTGCAACAGCCATAGCAGATATTCTACGTGGCTGTGTGCAAATTATGCTACAAAATGCTCCACGACCAGATTCTATTTCTGACTCTAATATGTACTGAGGAAGTTGGGTGGTCTTACCACACCCAGTCTCCCCAGATATCACAACCACCTGTAGAGCAGAAAGGAAGCGGATCAACTTCCATATAGAACTCATAATTGTGATGATTCATCCAAGGAAGAAACCATCCTCTTTACAAACGACCAAACAGCCGCACACAAAAATCTTTTGAAACTTTAAGTACTGTTTAGGCATTAGATACAGAAGGTTGAAAAGCATAGATGAAAACAAGATACATCATATTTCATCTGTAGACAGCACATAAGTTCTTTTAAATATTACAACATATCAGGCAATACATCAAAGTTACAGAACTTATTAAAACACTAGAAGTTTCACATATGCTAAACTAGATGAGGTACATTGTTGAAGCCTATCTTTTGTGCAAGCTTGTTTTTTTAAACATTCAAAGTGAAATACACAGACTCTGTAGTGTAAGTAACAAATTAAAAAGTACGAGTTCTGCTGGTGAACCTGATTATTTGCAATAGATTGAAGCAGCCTTTCCTTCTCCCTGAATGCAGGGAGAGATTTCCGAAAATCCAGCATCTTTCTTCCTTCATGTGATTCCTACATCAAAAGAAAAAATTACTTCAGTGCACAATCCAGTAAAAAAAAATCAAGAAGTAAAATCTCAAGTATTGATATACATTGAAAGTATCTGCAATCACTTTCAGAACTTTTTGCATCCAGTACAATAGAACAAAACGCTTCCACAAAAAAAATTACATTTAGCAAAACAAAGATACTCTGTCCATAATGCAGCGAACTGTAGCATGATTAAGTCTCCAGTAGCTTTTAATCAGACAGAAGTCAAAACTAAACCAGGAATAAGGAGTTTTGGATTAGAAAAACAATCAGAAAATGTGACTATATTCTCAATAATGATGTCCAAGTGTCAATGAAAAGCAATATGCTAAGATAGTATACATGCATATGCACTTGAAAGGTATATATGTATGCATGCACATGCATTCTTCTATACATCACCATATGTATGCATGCGCACATTATAAGAGGTTAAAACATATATGAATCAATACAAAGAATATCTGGCAGTGAACAAGGAAAAAGCTGAATGCTTCAAATAGTCATTCAAGACATGGGTGGATAGTTTACATGGATGAGAACAAAACAGACATCTACATATTTAGTAATAACAACCTAAGTAAACAATAAATGCAATACTAGTTTTTATCAAGTACTTAATTAATGGAACGTCACTCAGGAGCTGGTGCAAATTGCTTGCATGCGATTCTGAGAATCATGCCTAATGCCATCCAAAGAGGTAAGAGAAACATAGAAAGTAACCACCAAATACCTGCCAAGCCCTCTGCATGTTACGCATCCGCAAGCTCCGTCTCTGGAGAACCTTCTCCATGACAGATCCATCAAGGAGGGAGTCAGGATTTTCTTCATTATTCACATCTTCAACCTGATCCATGGATTTGCTTTCGCCTGAAGCTTCATCGCTTTTAACACAACTTAGCTGCAATCGGTCCAAATGTTCCTGAAGCAGACCCTCAACTCTCCTCTGTAAACTCAATGGGATAACGACCTGCAAGTCTTGAATAAATTAAGAATAATCAACTGCTTATAAATGCAAATCCTAAAAAAAATCAACAAGTAATTACATACCTCCCTCTGAGGTCGCTTATCATCAAGATCTGGCCTGTAGTTAGGGAGAGGCACCTTGCTTGCAACTACAACTTTGCCATATATTTCGCTGAACATGGTTGTCAACATTGCACCAGACAAAATAAAAAAAAATCTCAAACAAAATCAGGAAAAAATAAAGCCAAACAGAATAAAAGCACGATAATGCAAAAAGTTCTCTACCAGTAAAGTCCCATGCGTTTAGCCAAATTCGATATTTGCTCAAAGTCTCTCCTGTCCCTTTTATCTCTGGACACAATTTCTTGATCCTTTTCATTCCTCAACAGCATACTAAGTTTCCACTTCCATTCATCAATGTTGGCCACTGACGAAGATGCCTACAATAACAATAGCCCTAAAACTAATTATTCTCCAGCTCAATTTTCAATCATACAGATAGCAAAAAGAACATTCACACATAACCATCACAAGCCATTTAACCTTTCCAAGCAGTAACTAATAGCACCACTAAAAATTCAACTAGTAAAATTCAAACTTCTCCTCCATTTCTACTACAAGTTCGATGAATGAAAACGAAAAACATCATTTATTACGAAACCATTCAAACGAAACTAAAGTAGAAAAAAATGACAAAACAGCACGCACAAATTAATGCAAACAAAATTAAACCAAAGGGAAATAAAAAAAACTTTTCCATTCGATTATCGAGAAGTATAGATTACCGGCTGGTTGTCGTAATCGCATTCGTACTCGTCATCAGAGAACTGTTCAACGGCGTAACTAGAATAGCTCCGGCCTAGGGACCCACTGGCAAGAGTGGCCGAATTGCACAATAAATTGGACAGAGAAATACTTAAAACTCTTCTAATTAACCGCTCCCCAGCAGCCGCCGGCGGTAATACTAACGGCAAGGATAATGAGAGAGTAGAGAAGAGTGGAAATGATGGTGTTGATGAAGAAGTATTAAGCCTAATTCTTCTTTTGGAGCATGATGCTAAGATAAACCCAAGCCTTGAATGCATTATAATTTGGAGGGAGAAAAATGAAAATCTTCTTGTTTTAAATGGGATTCAAGTTCTCGGTGCCATGGCGGTTTTTATTTTATTTTATTTTGTTCCCTCCGTTTTAGAGCGGACAAGTGAGGATTCCGGAGTCTGCTAATCTAAATGGAGGACGGGAAGTATCTAGGGCTGTCAACGGGCCGAATTACTATGCCGGATCCGGATCCGACCCGTTTATCCGACGGGTCTTTTATTCTATGTTCCGGATCCGAATCCGGCGGGTCTCGGATCCGGATCCGGGTCTACCCGAACAAATTTACCAAATTTTATAATTTCTAATAAAAATGAGAAAAAAATATATTTGTAAACTAATTTCTAACTAATGCAAAGAAAAAACCAAATAAGAAAAGAAATCAAATTAATTTTATTAAAATACATCACCCTAATCAAATTATATTGATAAATATATATTTTTTAAATTATTAATTCATTTATATCCGGATCCGGGTCTAATACGGGTCGGAATACTATATTCCGTATCCGACCCGTTTTTTTGTGTTGACAAAACGGATCCGGATCCGGAAAACGGAATTAAATCCCTACCCATACCCGCAATAATTTCACGGATCCGGTCCGGATCCGGGTCTAGACCCGACCCGTTGACAGGCCTAGAAGTACTGGATGCCTCGCAGCGGCCAAGGGGAGCGTAAATTGATTAAACCGGACCCCAAAACTGGATCGTCTCGGTTCCCTTCAAATTTGGAGATTTGAATGGGGATTATTTGACATCGAAATTGACTTTAGGTGAAAGGAATCGATAATTTAATAATTTTGTGTAGTTTTTTGGAATTCAATTTTAATCAAAAACCAACTTCGTTTTATTTTCTCTTTTAATCTTTTACCTTGTCTTATTTCTACATTTTTATGTGCACATGTTATTCCTTAAGTTCTTAGTTAATTCTCAGAAAAAAAATTTTCAATTAGTTTCAAACTATTAGTCAATTGAACTTTTGACCCAAACAATTAAAAGTGAACTTTTGACTCCCAATTCATCCAAAGTGCAAAATGTTGAGCCTTCTATCAAATTTAACAGTTAATATCAACAGAAACCACGACCATGTGAGACACAGTTCGAAATACTAAGGGCATTTTTGTCCGCGATGAGCTATGTTCCACTCAATAAAATAGAGTAAAAATGATTTTGACCTAATTGTTTACTTTTACTTTTACCACTATCTCTCCCTCTCTCTACCATTATTTTGAGACCAAGAAATTCATTCACCCTTTTAGCAATATGTTGTTTCACAAAGCTCACATTTCTCTTTCTTCCAACATAGAACTCAAACTCTTTCCCACATGCAGTTCTAATAGTAATCGCCTGGAGATCTAATAGCCTAAATGTGAGGTTTCGAAATTTTTCTTGTCTTTATAACTCTTATTCGAACTTACTTGCTTTAAATTCTTGGTTGATTTAATGGTTGAATCATGATTTTCTTCCTATTGTATTATTTACCTTGGTGCATGTTTAATTTGATGCATGTTAAGTTTCATAGTACAATATCCTAATGACCAACTAGTAAGTTGTGTGCAATAAATTTGGAGGATTAGAATAAGTTTTGTGTAAAAAGAACTATGTGACATGAGGTGTTAAGAGTTAATTGGAAAAACCTTAGATATCTTGGTGAGTTAAAGACGAATAGAGAGACAAAAAGATAAACATCTCTTTTTTTTCTTGACATTTGTCAAGTAGCCAACCAAAGTTAACCAAAACCTTGACCAAAATAAGCTTTTCTTTCTTCTTTCTTCCCTTTTTTTTCTTCACTATTTCTTTCTTCTTTATCTTGTCTTGGCCAAAATTCTTGAGGGGAAAACAAGGGAAAACCAACTCCAAGTTCAAGCCTTGATTTCTTGCTTGATTAGTGAGGGAAAATAAGAGAAAACCCTAGTCTACTCCGACAAATCTTGAATCAAGTTTGGAGGGAATTTATTGGAGAAGTTTTGGAGGAAGAAACCCTTGAGTACTTCTTGCTTGGCTGTCCATATAAGGTTTTGGAGGTAAAGAGGTAAACTTTACTAGAAATCTTCCCTTATCTTTGAGTTTATTTGATATATGATGTTACAGAAGTTAAAGGAAGGACTTGTATGGTGAATTTCACGATTTTTAGGTTATGTTGTGAATTTTCAACTTTGTTTTGTGGGATTTAAGAGGTAAACTTGATAGTAACCTTATTTTTCTTCAATTGTCTTTGCATCTACTTAATGGATAATATTCTATAAGGTAAAAGTCATGACTTTTATGGAAGATTTTATGGTTTGTCAAGATTATGTTGTAATTTCCACTTTTGGTGCATAATCTAGTTAGTTTAGTTTAGAGTTTTGAATATGTGAAATTTTGATGGGTTTATTTGCTAAGAAAATGGTCATATATGTCATGACATGATATCTTGATTGATAGTAGTTTTGCCAAGAAAATAAGATTGAAAGTTGGAAGTTTTGTTGAAAATTTTGGGGAAAACTTGCTATAATTTCTATTAGAGTTGGCCGGCTAAAAAACAGCCATTTTCCAGCTTTGATTTCCAGAAATTTGTGGTGATTTTGGCAAGGTTTTGGTCAAGATACTTTATTAAACCTAAATCTTCGCTTGCATGTTGGAGTTGAGTCAAAACAAAAAGGGCAAGAAAAGGAAAATGAGTTTTCTCCAACGTGTTTTTCTTGCTCGAAATTTCCAGTTTTGTGCATCGAAAATTTTGTCCTGTTGTCTTCAAAATTCTTGGCTATAACCGACATATTCTTGCTCCATATTATACTTGAAACATGGACCTATCATACATGTGGTTTTTGTGAGGACCCGTACATTTTCTTTATTTCATAATAATTATTTTATTTTCTCGCATGCATTTTCTTCATTATACTCTATTATATTGATTTTTTCGGAGATTTTTATAAGTGAGTAGAGTTTTTAAATCATTTTCCTAGTATAAGTTAGTTTATGAGATATTAGAAATACATATCGGACGTGAGACCCGCTAGGGCAATAAGATGAATAAATTCGGCCAATTAGATTAAGTTTTGTATACAGGGATTTAATTACTAGGTGTGAAGAGATAATTAGAGGTTACTTAGATGGTTTAATCTTGGAGTGGCAAAAGGATAAGTTTAAACTTAAAATGTGCCATGTGTCACTTTCTTATTCGAGTTTGGACTTTGACTACTATTTTTTAACTTTACTAAAACCTCAATTTGACCCAAAAATCATCTTCATTTCACCTCTCTTGGCCGAACTCCTTAGGGAGAGAAAAGAAAGAAACCTTCAGCTTTTATTCTTCATTTCTTGCTTAGATCTTGCAAACCAACCGATTAAATCTTGAATTTGTCCACAAAAGTGACTTGCTAAGGGAGTTTGAAGGTCTTGGTGGAGTTGTTTTGGAAAAAAAAACCCATAAGCTACTATCTTTCTTGAGGAGTTAAGGTATTTTGCTTGGAACTCACTCTTTGTTCCTAATAATGGTCAATTGGTGACTTATGGTAGCTAACTAGGTGATTTTATGGAAGATTTCATGGATTAAAGTGAAGTTAGCTAAATTTCTGATTTTTTTGGGATTTTTTTATTTTTCATATGATGATTATGGTTGGCCTTGGATTGATGGCTCTAAATTGTGTTAAATGGATCCCTTGTACGTTAATTGCGGTTATTTACGGAAAATTTCAGCTTGTGCGAAAAATTTCAGGATTAGGGTTCCAATCTGCCCTGTTCTGACCAGCTTTATTAGTGCATGTTAGAGGCCGAATCAGGCTTAGGTCAAAACATGAAAGTTGTAGAAAATGGTGTTAATAGCTGCCTGCAAAATTTCAGCTCAATCGGAGCACTGTAGCATGTGAAATGACCGAAACACCCTTGACTGCCCATGAACCCTGTTTCGCGGACAGATTTCTATTTTCGTGGAGTTTTCCATTTTTTACCATGAAAATGCATGATTTGGCTTTGGAGGTCTTCATAAGAAATGTAGGTATATGTTTTAGTTTCGAAACGCCATAATATTCGTTTCAATCCGATAAGTGTAGCTTCAGTTGTGCTTATTGTGCCGAAAGGTGTGTTTTATAATCTAGGATTTGTATGTGGTTGATTTGAGATGAATTGGTGTTGATTGTAGGACGGAAAAGTAAGGAAATGTAAGGGACATGCCGTCCAAATTTGCTCTCTGTATCTGTTATCTGTATCTGTTCTCTGTATAAGTCTGCGATCTCTGAACTCAAAACCTGTGGCTAGTTACTCGAGTCAAGCCGGCAAAGGCCTGGTCGATTAAATAACAAACCATGATAGTCTGTTTCTGAGAATCTTTGGGTATTGAGACTCTTGATTCCGGTATACTCGAGTATTACCATTTCTGTTTCTGTTGAGGTGTTCGGGCCCGGTAGGGGGTATGTTTGGTGGACGGAATCTGGTGTAAAGTGGGGTCTACGGACATGTTGGTTCTATATACGTTGACGGAAAGTCAACGGGTTGGGATCAAGTGCTGCAACGGAAATCTGGCTCTTGAGAGCCACCTGTATCCTTTCTATTTGAATCATGGTGTCTAACTGCTTTAATTTATATCTGGCATGTATACCTGATTGGTTAAACGTGAAATGTCCTGATTTGCCTGCTATTATTTTGGTACCTCATTGAGCGTAAACTCACCCCTTCCCGTTATCTTTGTTTTCCTTACAGGGGACAAACTTTGAAACCACGGTTTTGGAAGAAAGGGGTCGAGCTAATGTATATGTTATTTTGTTAAATTCCTTTGTAACCGAAACCCTAACTGTAATTTGACTAGTATGAATACTTTGGCTTATATTTTAGTTTAGTTAATTTGCCAAAGACTCCAATGCAAATATATGTATAAGTATTGAATCCTGTCTATTAAGTGTATTCCGTGAGATGTTATGCTTCTATGGCTTTGGTGAGTGTTTAATCGATGTCCTGTTTCACCACTTGATTTGGTAAGTGATATTGAAGTTTGGTGGTTTTATTTGTTCAGTTTCTTAGGGTCCTATCGCACGTACTATACGGTTTGTGAAATTCGACTCTGTACTTCTGGCGAGAGTTGGGCAGGCGGTCCACCGACCCCTTTGGTTCACCTTAGGGTGAGGTGGGG